GCTAAAGGGGGAGGAAAGGGGTTAATCCCCTTACCTTTTTTCCAGCGCCGGGATTCTCCTCCCTCTTCTGACGTCCCTGGCTTAATGCGCATGCGCGGCAAGAGCCGCGCCCAATCAGCCAGTCCATAGGAAAGCATTCTAAATGCTTTCCTATGGACGCTGGCATCTTCTCACTGTGAAAATCACAGTGAGAACCGCAGAAGCGCCTCTAGTGGCTGTCAATGAGACGGCCACTAGAGGCTGGATTAAACCATATGTAAACATAGCAGTTTCCATGAAACTGCTATGTTTACAGCAAAAAGGGTTAAACCTAGCTGGACCTGGCACCCAGACCACTTCATTAAGCTGAAGTTGTCTGGGTGCCTATAGTGGTCCTTTAACCTTGCAGTGGCCTCCTGTATGTAATCAAAGTTCAAGTTACAGAGCAGGAAGTGAAAACATTTAAAGTAAGTTTACATCTGATTGAAAATGAAACCATTTTGTTTCATACAGGCTGTGTCAGTCACAACCAGGGGAGGTGTGGCTTTTTAAATGCATTATTCTGTAACTTTGTACACCACAATGTGGGTTGCCACTCGCTCACTTTGTACCATACATATAAACCCAAATAAAATGTGAACAAATTGACAGAAACAATAGTGAATATACATAATTGCTTTTGTATACATCCAAGAAGAGCAGTATCAAAACAATCAAAACACCCCACCCCTCCAAATCTTGTACTCGATATACATCCTGTTTTCAAATAAATATTATGCAATATTATGTGCTTAGAATGAACTCAGTAGTGAAGAGGTTAATGACTATCTCCAGTGTAGCCTGAATAATTCCTTCCAGGAATCCAGAACTCTGTGTAATTACCATAACTGTGCAGCACTTTCCATTAAAATCACCTTGGAACTCTGTCGTTTTCCATGTCTGATTACGAGACACACGCCGGTAATAACTTGAGACGAGAGGTTTCATTTGCCAATCCAGGATATTTTCCACTTGCAGTCTGAATTCTGCTTCTGCCACAAAATGGAGTCTTTCCAGTTTGGCTTTTGAGTAAGTGAAAAGGCTATAGAGTTTATACAGATATATTATTGTACCATATATATTCTTTATAGTTTTTAAAGAATCATAAAAAACTGTGATTTAAGCAAAGGGTATAGAAATTTAAGAAATACATTTCTTAGAATATTTATATAGCAAAATGGCTTTCCTAAAGGCAAACACACCATTATATGGAATGCAACGGAGAAATCTGGGTAATAACTAAAACACCTTGACCAGGGCCGGCCCAAGATATTGTGCTGCCTGGGTCCAAGGATGAAATGCTGACCTCTCATACCCCCCCAAAAAACATATATGCTTCTGCAATGGTAGTGTCTCTATGTGGATGTGCTGGGGATGAAGTTTGTGTCTGTGGGCTTGCTGGGAGTGAAGTATGTGCCTGTGTGTGTACTCGGGATATAGTGTGTGTCTGTGTGTGTGCTGGGGATGTAGCATATGTCTGTGTGTGCTGGGGATGTAGCGCGTGTCTGTATGTGCACTGCAGCCAATATACTTACCTATACACTGTGTCTATGTATATGCATGTGTGTCAGTGTTTGTATCTGTGTGTCTGTATCTGTATGTGTGTCAGTAATTGTGTCTGTGTGTCTGTATATCTGCATATCTATCAGTGTGTCTGTGCAACTGTATGTGTGTATGTGCATCTGCATGTGTGTCAGTATATATATCAAAAACATACACACAGATGTACAGACACACTGCCACACATGCAGATACACAGACATACAGATACACACACAGATACACATTACACACATACAGTATACACAAACCACACAGCTACTCACACTACACACATACACACACAATACACACACATTACACACATACAAACAGATACACACACTACACATACACAGACACACACATACAATCACACAGATACACACACACAGACACACTACACACATTACACACACAAAACATACAGATACCCACACTAAATACAGATACACACACTTCTCACAGATACACGCATTACACACATACAGATACACATACACTACAGACAGATACACACACTACACATACACACATTATATACATACATACACAGATACACACACTACACATACACAGATACACACACTACACACAGATACACACATTTCACTCATACAAATAGATACACACACTACACATACACACAGATACACACACACTTCACACATTACACACATACAAACACACAGATACCCACACTACACACACACTACACATACACACAGATACACATACACAAACACACACTACACACATTACACACATACAAACACACAGATACCCACACTACACACACATTACACACATACAAACAGATACACACAAACACACAGCTACACACACATACAAACACACATTAAAAAAATTAAGCCACCCAGCAGGTTCTTACTTTCTGCTGGCTGTGGCTGGTGGGAGTTGGGGGCCTGCTCTCCCAATCCAGCCAGCCCTATCCTCGGAGCTCCCTCCTCCTCCCGCGTGGCTGTTTGAGTGAACTGGGAGGAAGTGATACGCTGTCACTTCCTCCCAGCACTCTGTGCAGGATAGAAGTGGCCCGGCTGTGCTGTTAAAGCACCACAGCGCACGACCGGGCCCCTCATTACATATGTCCTTCGGGTGGCCCTAAGGGCATGGGCTGCTGCACCGCCGCCATGGGTTGGAAACTCCTTTTTTAGATTATAACAGGGGCGACATTTTGCCGTCCCTGTCAGAGTGCCGCCTGGAGCCGTGGCTCCAGCGCGGTCTATGACGGGCCGTCCCTGACCTTGACATTGGTTAAAACTGTAATTTCACTTAGGGTTTAAATATTTTCTTTCTCAATCTGTTTTTTAATAAATTTTTATATTTATTCTGTTAAGTTCAAAGCTAATTTTGTAACCCAGCAGAATGTTACATTTATCTTGATTGCTGTCAGCAAAACTGTGTTCAACTTTGTTTCAATTTGAAATTTACAAGAATATAAAAACCTGAGGTAGAAACCAGTTTTACAGACAGAAAGCTTTGAAGACTGCTTGTTTGCTGTTATGGTACATGGCAATGATTAGTGGTCTGTCTGGTTGTTTGCCGCGTGTCGTTGTCTGGACACTCATTTGGGTTACTCATAAAACAAACAATACAAAAACAACAGCATTCCGTCATGTGTCTTCAACTTCGAATCCAAAGATAGCAAACACACCATGGGGAAGGAATGGAGATTGATTAATGGGAAGTAAAACACATGCATGAAAGTAGACTAGGAGATGAAATAATAGGAATTAACATATAACTGGTGGATAACATGGAGAGAGATTGATGAGATGAATTAGAACATTGCTTCAAAACCATTGTTAAACCATGTATCTTGTAAAAAAACTTTTTTTTACCAAGTACACCAACTACGTCAACCGAGTTATTTACCAATTTCATTTAACAACATAACTTACTAGATAAATTGATAGAGAAATACCCTCTGGCTACTTAAAAGTACCTCACAGGCTGTGAATTAGAACGCTGGTTCAGGCCCCAAGCCAGCCCATTGAGGGTTTAGGCATTTTCTATTTCGACTTCAGGGGTTAATGGTAACACTTGACTATCTGTGTGTCTGGAGGACTGGTTCATGACCCACTGGATTAGAGGACCTGTTCATTACCTGTACTGTACAAATGATAACAGTTTATCATCAAAACCCAAACTTCTAGAAAGCTTGTTCTATCAAATTCAATACTTTTCAAATTGCCGACCTTTAATGATGCCTGATTCTATGTAATTGTCACAGCACAGCCCGAGCCCTGCAGACAGCAAGGCGTGGCCGCCCCTTTAAGAGACCTGGCTGGGTTTGAACTCACAGCATCCCAGTCAGGTTCTCTGCCATGATATCCACCTGTAGCCCTTTTCCAATTAGGGTCAGCTGCATCTAATTAGCAGGCTGTAAAAGCCAGCCCTGCCTGAAACCTAGTATCTGGTCATTTTGCCTGTTTGGTTTTTCCTGCTGGATCTTTGCTTCGCTACTGACTGCTTTCCTGGACTCTGACCTCTGACCTCTGCCTCTGCCTGATTTGCCCACTTCGTTACTCTGCTGCCAGCCCCGACTTCTGCTTCTCGTCTGACCCTGCCTTTGGTTTTCCCCTTAATCTGTACTGCGCTTCTGGTTTGCCTCCTCCCTGTGCCATCTCCTGCAACTGGGCTCCAACTCCTGGTAAACTGTTACAAAAGTCCCCAAGTGACTGTTACATAATGACCAGATCGACTACCATAGAGCCCACGGAGATGATGAATGTCCTGAGTACCCTCACACAGCAAGTGACCCTCCTGTCTCAAACCGTAAGTGAATTGCAGCGTGGCTATGCTGATTTAAAGGGGAACACACACCATGCTCCTGAACCTGATATTGCATTGCCTAAAAGATTCACTGGTCGCAGGGTTTCCTTCCGCTTCTTTATCACAGACTGTGAAATCCTGTTTGTACTTAAACCCCGTACTAATGCCACAGATTTTGTTAAAATAAGAACTGTCATCACCCTGTTATCCTGGCAACCCAAGACCTGGGCTCATCAACAGCTGTATACCAAAAGCCCTGTACTGGACACCTGGGAATCCTTTGCTACAGCCTTGACCTCCTTGTATGAGGACCTCTTCCGTGCCTCCACAGCCAGGACTTCTCTCCGTTCCCTTAAACAAGGAAACCGTCCTGTGGAAAATTACATCACAGAGTTCCGTGGTATGTCATCAGACACTGGACTCAATGAAACCTCCCCCAAGTGGACCAATTCCGCCTTGGATTAAGTGAAACCCTTAAGGATGAACTGGCACGAGTAGGAGTTCCAAACTCCAAGGAGAAATTAATGGTACTAGCCACCCAGCTGGATCTCCGGTTCAGAGAAAGAAGGCAGGAGCGATTTTAAACTAACACTCTGCCCGATCAACGCTCCCAAGCTGCTGGTGAGACCTATACCCCAATCCCCACCATGGAGATAGAGGAACCCATGCAGATTGGAGAACTAAATACCATGCTCACAGTAAATGAAAAGGCCAGAAGGAGAGCCAAAGGCCTTTGCTTCTATTGTGGCAAGGAAGGCCACTACATCAGCTACTGCCCGATACGTCCTCCTCGCTCTAAGCATAACCATGTGGGGGCTCGGTGTCACCATCCAACAAGTCCATCATGGCCCCTTTTTTGTTCAACTCTGCATGCTACTGGACCAAAAAGACCACCTAACCAGACCAATGGCACCATCACAGCCCTGGCTAACCCTGCTCCTTTTCCAGAGCCTCAAGAGGAGGCTCCCTTCCAATCCTCAGCTTCTATCTCCCCTAAAGTTTCCTGCTCCAACACAGAGGGTCTGTCCCCAGACTGTGTAATTGCCTCCAATGGAACCGTGGTCCGCAGGCAAGATATAAATGCCTTTGAGCAGGCTCTTAAGGCCAGAGCTGCATCCCCTTCTCGCCTCCTTGCCTCCACTGCCTTCTCAGATGATCACAACCTGAAAAATGTTCCAACACTCTCCTGATGATTCGGATGCCTATACAGACCTGGATTCCCTGTCTGAGCCTGAACTGGATCCTGTAGTTGAAGCCCTGTCTGTTCGCCCCCCGGAGGTCACTCCTTGTGGGGGGGGGGCTCTGTCACAGCACAGCCCGAGCCCTGCAGACCGCCCCTTTAAGAGACCTGATTGGGCTTGAACTCACAGCTCCAGCATCCCAGTCAGGTTCTCTGCCATGATATCCACCTGTAGCCCTTTTCCAATTAGGGTCAGCTGCATCTAATTAGCAAGCTGTAAAAGCCAGCCCTGCCTGAAACCTAGTATCTGGTCATTTTTCCTGTTTGGCTTCGCTACTGACTGATTTCCTGGACTCTGACCTCTGCCTGATTTGCCGACTTCATTACTCCGCTGCCAGCCCTGACTTCTGCTTCTCGTTTGACCCTGCCTTTGGATTTCCCCTTAATCTGTACTGCGCTTCTGGTTTGCCTCCTCTCTGTGCCATCTCCTGCAACTGGGCTCCAACTCCTGGTAAACTGTTACATAAGTTCCCAGGTGACTGTTACAGTAATAAAGACTATTAAAAACAATAGCTTGTTGAATCAGGGAAAACTTATATACATGGAAATTTTTTTTTCCTGATTAATACATGCCAGCATCACCTATGGGTTAAGCTCCTCCCTCTCAGCTGATAGGACAGGAATCTAAATTAAAATAATGTTTTATAAGAGAGTCACCTCCCCATATTCAGTAGTAGTTTGTCATGTCCTCCAGCTGTTAGGCAGCAATACAGGTTTTTATATTAACGTTCACCTGCCATTAGTTTTTCATTATGGCACCTCTGGGGAGTTCAGCCTCTCTCCCCAGGGAAGAACCCAGATACAAGTAGTTTGGGACTCCCTGGGTTAGAATTGCTATGTTAGTGCATAGAAATTGGACCTCTCTGGATTGGATTACAATTAATAGAGCTCTATTTGTGGTGGTAAGGATGCCTGGTTACCTTATATTGATGTGCTTTAAATTTAGTAATTTTTCTTCTTTTTTGGCGTATTCTCTGCCCCATGAGGCTTCCCCTTCACGTTCCCAATGAATTTGGTACGGAAACTGGCGCGGAATTGCTGGCCTACATCTTTTTTTGTAGATCAGAAAAAAACAAGATAGCTGATTGGGGTCTTCCTGTCTGGCCTTAAAGTGACCTTAGGGTATTTAAGGAAGTTCCTGTTTTAAGCTTTCTTAAGGTGGAACTTGCACCTGCATGTTGTTTTTGGTGATTCCTTGGCTTCCAAAGTGTTGGTTTAAGCTGAAAGGTGGGAATATATTTTAATAAATTCTGAGGGTTCTTTATGGTTATAATTATTTTGTAATTTGCATTTATTTGATTGTATATTGCCTTGTAGCCTTTTCTTGTTACCATGGCATCCTCTTCCTCCACCTCAAGGAGCAGACATAGACGTGTAAGGTGAGCTTTGTTCATATGATTATAAAAAAGTGCTTATGGTTATACCTATATTAGTTGGCCCATATATTATATACATACATACTGCACAGATGTTTATATTTAGCCCAAGACAGCCTGAAAGAAACCGTGCTAAGGATACACAGAAATCCAAAAAGTGCCATGCCTGTCCATCTTCTGCAATTGAGGGAATACATTTCTGCAGGGACTGTTTGTGCATTAAAGCAAGCGAAGAAGCCTCAACATCGGCTGATAATGTAAATCCTCATCTGACATCTGACAAGGGAAGTTTAATAGATTATACCCTTTTCTAACTTCTGAGACAAAACCTTGGAACATGGCACCTAAGGTGGATGCAGCAATCATCAGAGTGGCAAAGAAAACAGTATTGCCCATCGACAGTGCAGCATCCCAAGAGACCCCATGGAAAAATGCATGAATGCAAACCTTATAAAAACATATACTTCGTTAGGGGCAGTAATGCATCCAGCAGTGCAAGAGCTGTCAAGAGCTCTAAGAGTATGGACCACACCTCTACTCTGAGCAACAACATTTCCAAGGGAACTAACAGAGTAACGCTACTGGAAATCTTTAAGGATGATTTTATTACAGAAGCTTCAGTAGACATTACCAACCTTATTTCTAAAGCTGTGGGCCAATCAATGTCTGCCAGGAGAGCATTATGGCTCAGAACATGGGATGCAGATAACTCTTCTAAGACAAACTTATGTCTACTTCCTTTTCAGGGAAACTTGTTATTTGGAAAGGCTTTGAATGAAGCAATATCTAAGGCTGCAGAAGGGAAAAAGTCACTACTTCCACAAGATAAAAGAAACAAAATATATCCCAGTAGATGGGGAAGATGCTATAGAGAACAAACCTCCTTTGAGAATTCAGAACATATAAACCTAGTAGAGAGTATACTTGAGTACCATATTGGAAAGGACAACCCTCCAAACTTCAAAGAGGAAGAGGAAAATCATTTTGAAGGTGGCAGAGGACAGATAGTCAAGGTTGGAGCCCACCTTGCAAGATATCTTCAAATCTGAAACTTGCACATCGAAGACCAGTGGGTTCTTTCACTTATAGACAAAGGATACTATCTTGAATTCGAAGAAAATATTCCATCCATTATGGTCAAGTCTTCAGTATCTCAAGAAAAAGAAGCCTTAATGAAAGAATGTCTAGAAAAACTACTTCAGCAAGAGGTTATTTGTCATGTGTCCCCGAGAGAAGTATTTCAAGGTGTTTACTCCCCTGTTTTTCTCACCCCAAAGCCATCAGTGAAGTGGAGGATGATATTAGACTTCAAGAAAGTTAATTATTTTCTCAAGAAGAGACCATTCAAGATAGAGTCTTCAAACAAGCATGCCTCAAATTCATTCATCAGAATGGCTGACATTGATAGTCCTTCAGGATGCATATTACCACATCCCTATAGCTGTATCACACAGAAGGTTCCTGAGGTTCATCATTTTCAACAGTAATTTTCAGTTCAAAGGCATGCCGTTTGGCCTGAGTTCCGCTTCAAGGACGTTTACGAAAATTCTGATCAGCCTTAGAGCCATCTTGAGGGAAGAAGGAATAAGAATATTTCACTATCTGGATGACATGCTAATTGTGAATGCGTGCCAGAGAAAACCAAAAGAAAATACGGAGATGGTTACAAGAATTGGATAATAAACATCGTCAAGAGTCAACTACAACTGTCGCAGGAAATACATTTCTTGGGGGCAATATCAACACAAGAAAAAACTGGATAACTAACAAGACAGGATAGCCAGATGTCTTGGGAAAGTCTCTACAGCAGTAGTATGCAATCACATGACTGTCACAGATTACATGAGTCCTCTGGGAACAATGTCATCAACAATTAGGTTAATAAGATGGGCCCACTGAATCCTCAGAGCAGCACAGAAAAATGTCTTAGATCAATTCATTCAAGAAATCCAAGAATGGGATCAAAAAATATGGATGACAGAGGAAGCAAGACTATCTCTTCAATGGTGAATGAAAGATGAAAATATAAGAAGAGGCTTCCCACTAGAAGAACCAGAATGGGAAGTTTTGACAACAGACTCCAGCAGGAGAAGTTGGGGAGCGCAATACAAAAAACAGCCAGCCCAGGGATTATGGCCTATGAAATGCCAGAATCTCCATTTGAACATCTTGGAAATGAGGGCAGTTTACAAGGCTTTACTGACATTCAAGCATTTCCTAAAGAACAAACGGGTGAAGGTAAGGGTGGACAACACCACTGCCATGGCCTACATCAATCATCAAAGAGGGACGAAGAACAAGAGATTGATACAAGAACCCAAACCAATAATATTCCAGTTACAACAGAATCTGGAAGAGGTGTCTGCGATTCACCTACCAGGACAGATGAACACTATCTCGGATTATCTGAGCCAACATTCTGTATATCCAGGCAAATGGAAACTAGACATGTGCAATTCGTTTTGCCCGAATTTTCGGGAAATTCGAACATTCGGGTACTTCCGAATAGATGACTTGCCGAAATTACTGAATTTCCAAAGTGTCGAAGTTGCCGAAGTTCCGAAGTACAGTATTGCCTAAGAACTAATATACTTACCCAGTGGAAGAATGAAGAATGTTACACTATATACAATTTTACACTGTATTAGGGAGCTATCTACTAAAAAGCTGAAAGACAAATGGGTCTTTCAGCCAAATTTACTAATACTAAGTAAAGATTACTTAGTATTAGTAAATTATGCCTCTACTCGCTATAGTAGGGGCATGTATATTAAACAGTGAGCAGCCTGTGGCCTATTGCCCCACCCCCGGCCCCCACCCCTGAGTGACAGGTGGGGGCACTAAAGTAAAATAATGGGGGGGACCTATTGTCCTCCCCCCAGCCCCCACCCCTGAGCGGCGGGTGGGGCCCTAAATCAGAATAAGGGGGGGGAACTAATGTCCTCCCGCCTTGCTCCCACCCCTGAGCGGTGGGTGGGGGCCCTGAATACCAATTAGGGGGGGACCTAATGTCCTCCCCCCAGGCCCCCACCCCTGAGTGGTGGGTGGGGGCCCTAAATTAGAATAAGGGGGGGACCTAATGTCCTCCCACCTGGCCCCCACCCCTGAGCGTCGGGTGGGGGCCCTAAAGTAAAATAATGGGGGACCTATTGTCCTTCCCCCGGCCCCCTGAACGGTGGGTGGGGGCCCTAAATTAGAATAGGGGGGATCTAATGTCCTCCCCCCTGGCCCCCACCCCTGAGTTGTGGGTGGGGGCCCTAAATACTAATAAGGGGGGGACCTAATGTTCTCCCCCTGGCCCCCACCCCTGAACGGTGGGTGGGGGCCCTAAATACTAATTAAGGGGGGCCCTAAATAAAGAATTAACCCCCCCTCCCCAGGTGACTAGGGGTCCCCAAACCCCTAGTCACCCACCTCCCCCCAAAAACTAACTCCTATCTCCCCCCTCACCCTAAAAATAATGAGGGGGGGGGGACCATTAACTAAATACCTGTAAAAAAACAAAAACAAAACTTACCATTTGATGTTTTCTTTCTTCTAAAATCTTCTCTTTTCAGACCCAAAAAAGGCCAAA